TTTTGAATACATACATCATAAATGTAAGTGTCTATTGATGCCACATATATATAGATGTGGTGGTTAATTATGGATATGTTATATTTGTTGTAGATATTGCATACCTATATCCCTGATGTAAATAGTGTTTGAAACATGTTGGGTTATTTTGGCTTCTGGGACAAATACTGGAACGCCAGTATTATAACCCCAAAAAGTTGGGACACAGCTGTGTAAAATCCATATAAAAACAGAATGCAATGATTTGCAAGTCTCATAAACCCATATTTTATTCACAATAGATATTAGAAAACATATCAAATATTTAAACTGAGAAAATGTACCATTTTAAGAAAAAAAGTAAGGTAAGTTTTAAATTGTGAAATTGATGACAGCCACGTCTCAGAAAAGTTGGGACAGGATAAACAAAAAGCCAAAGTAAGAGGTACTAAAAAGGAAGAGCTGGAACAACATTTTGCAACTATTTAGGTTAATTGGCAACAGGCCAGTAACATGATTTAGCATAAGAAGAGCATCTTAGAGAGTCAGAGTGTCTCAGAAGTAAAGATGGACAGAGGTTCACCAAACAGATCCTCCCCCCCATGGGGCTGAGATTAGCAGCACTCCCTTAAGGAGACGGTTTCTAATCTCAGCTTTTTAGCTGTATAAAAGACATCTGGTAGCCAGAAATCCTGCTGAATGATAGGGGATAAAATACTTTTTTCCCTCATGAACATGCAAATCAGTGCATACTTTGTTAGACATGCATTTCTTTTGAATTTTTTGTTGCTATTCTGTCTCTCAGTGTTACAATACACCTACCATTCGATTTTTAGACTGATCATTTCTTTGTGAGCGGGCAAACATTCATAATCAGCAGGGGATCAAATACTTATTTCCTTCACTGTATATGGTCTCCCACCACCAAAAATTCCTTTACCACATTGGCTTTTGAGGAACTGAGAGTTTTGCCACCAATAGACATAGCTTGCTACATCCCTTTGAAACTTTAAACTTTGTGGTGGCTTTAGTTGTTGAACAAAGAATCTATAATATCAATTAAATCCCTTGCCATTTTTCAGGACCAAACTATTTTTTTAATTGATCTGTAGCTTTAACAATCACTTTACCAATATCAATCAGTCGATTCATTTAAAGATCTTTAAAGACATGTGATTATGCAGTATCCAATGTAATTGGTAGTACACCACCAAAGTCATTGCGTGCAGTAATTTAGGTTTTTTGCAATTTATGCAATGACTTCTCATTCACCCCATGCATCATGTGCATTAAAAAAAAATCCTTTCTGGCAGCCACATTATTCATTATTCTTATAATACAAAAGCTCATTATCCAAAGCGTGTCCAGCTTTTGATGCCTTCTTCTAAGACACTCAAAGTCCAGTACTGCGCACCTCATCTATGCCTGGTGTCAGAATAAATCCTTCATCGGCAACTCAAATAAACTTTAGAGATACAGAACTGCTGAACGTTCACACATAGTGTATGTTGCTTTATCATTATCAATACATTTTTCTAAATTAGCTGAATAGAAGAGAGTATGGGGAGGCCTTATTTCAAATCCTCTCCCAACTCTTACAGAAATTCTAATTTTCATGAAACGTTAAAGGACTGATATATGATCTTAGCTTACTCAATATCCAATATAAAAGGCAGCACTCAGACAGTGTTCTGACATACAGATCCAAAGTAGTTCAGGTCTTCTGTAATTTACAAAATTATTTCTCATTCATTCTACGCAGTTAAAAAAAAAATCTTGAATTCCTGTCACATTACTTTTATCATATTGTTTTTAAAATAATAAAATGGTTCCTTGTCCAAAGTGGGTGCAGATTCAGATGCCATCTTCAAGGGCACTCAAAGTCTAAAAGCACACAACTTATCTACTTCCTGGTGCCAAGATGAAACCTACTTCAGCAACTTTGAATTTGCTCTTTCATTTCATCAAATAAAAGCATCAGTAATCATGCTCTTATTTTAGTTAGAAACTTTTCTAGCCACGTTTAGCCCTTTATCAAGTTAGGAACAAACTACAGTATGTCCCCGATTTATGAACATTCGAGTTGCGAACTTTCACAGATACGAACAGACCTTGCATTACGAACATTCGTAGATGCGAAAAAATTGTGGAAGTAGCTCACGTGTCTGCCGGACATTGCCACAGTTGTGCTGCTGTGTGCTTACTGTACAGTGCGATAGTGTACTGCACAGAGCCCAGGATGTCTGGAAGCAAGAGGAAAAGCAGGATGATGTGGAGGGGACTGCTAGGAAGCGCAAAGCAATAACCATGGAAACAAAAGTGAAAATAATTGAGAAATCGGACTGAGGCAAAAAGATGTTAGACATCGCTCGTTCTTATAACATGAATTGTGTAACTATTGGCACAATTCTAAAGAACAAAGCCAAGATCATGGAACATGTGAAGTCTCCTGTGCTTATGAAGTCAACAATAATATCCAAAAAGTGTGGTAAAGTGATAGAGGAAATGGAGAAACTTCTCAGTGTGTGGATGCAGGATCAGCATCAGCGTCGAGCCCCACTCAGCTTAATGCTTATTCAAGAAAAAGCTAAAAGCCTGTTTGGAGAGTTGAAGAAAAAACGGGGTGAACAGTGTGCATCTTTTACTACCAGCCATGGATGGTTTAACAGATTCAAGGCTAGAGCCAACCTTCACAATGTAAAAGAAAGTGGTGAGGATGCAAGTACAGATACCATAGCTGCCCAAGAGTTTCCAGCAACACTTGGAGAAATTATTGATGAAGGTGCTTATTTATCCCTACAGATTTTCAACATCTATGAGACAGGACTGTACTGGAAGAGGATGCCAGAACAAAAGTTACATCAATAAAGAGGAAAAGAGGATGTCAGGCTTCAAAGCAGCAGCAAAGAACAGACTTACTCTGTTGTTTGGTGGCAATGCTTCCGGTAATATGAAACTAAAGCCTCTCTTAGTTTACCATTCAGAGAACCCAAGAGCCCTCAAAAACATAGCCAAAGGCTCTCTACCTGTTGTGTGAAATAGTAACTCCAAAGCCTGGGTTACACAGGCCATTTTCCAGGATTGGTTTTTCCACCACTTTATCCCAGAGATAAAGAAATATTGTTTGGAGAAAGATATCCCATTCAGCATTCTTTTGCTACTTGACAATGCACCAGGTCACCCCAATTCATGGATGAATTTCATCCCAATGTCAAAGTAGTGCATCTGCCACCGAATACTACAGCGCTCATCCAACCTATGGACCAAGGAGTTATTTCAAGAAATATTATTTACGTCACACTTTTCATCAGGCAGTGAAGGCTATTGATGAAACAGGAACAACCTTGCAACAATTTTGGAAGGACTATAACATCTACCAGGCCATAAAAAACATCAACTTTGCTTGGCGTGAGGTTTCGGCTGTTACCAGGAATGGGGTTCGGAAGAACTTTTGCTCACAGTTTGCTCATGAAGTTCATGGACTTGAGAAGATGGGTAAGGAGTCCAAAGAGGTTTTCAACAACTTAGTGACCCTTAGCACGAAGTTGGAGCTAGATCTGCAAGAGGACGACTTCATTGAACTCCTTGCTGTGCAACATGAGGATCTTACTAATGAGGACCTGATGGAATTAGAGGCCCAGTGAAAAGACGAAGAGAGCTAAAAGAAAGATGTAACTGAAGAACAAAGAGATTCACAACACAGGAAATGGCAAGGGGAATTTCTTTACTTGAAGAGGCAATGTTAGTTTTTGAGGCAAAGGACCCCGACGTAGAAAGATACACAAAGGTTGCATCAGCCATTCAAAATGCCATCCAGTGCTAAAGAGTCATCTATGATGAGAAAAAAAGAGCTACTACTCAGACATCACTGGATATATATTTCCAGAGGGTAGACAGAATTGAATCCATCAAAATGAGGGAAATTCCATCATGCCCTCCATCTCCTATTGCTGATGATCCTTAAGCTCCAACAACATCAGGTGTGGGACAAATTCCTCTTGCCATCCATCTCCTATTGCTGATGATCCTTAAGCTCCAACAACATCAGGTGGGGGCCAAATTCCATCTTGCCCTCCATCTCCTATTGCTGATGATCCTTCAGCTCCAACAATATCAGGTGGACAGGAAGGGGTTAGCATGAGCGGTGATCAAAGGGTTAACTGTGTGCTAGGAGTGTTTTACTATGGGGTGGTGTCTGTGTGCTTCACTGTAAGCACACTGCTTTGGATGGCTGTACTGTGCACAGCCATCCAAAGCAGTGTGCCCAAGCTGACAAGGAGGAGAACTGTTAGTAAACAAAACAGTTCTCCTCACCGTCGGAGATCCTCAGTAATCACCAGGCGCCAGCGAGTAATCACCGGCCGGGACCTAGTGATTGACAGCCGCGGCCGGAAATTTTTGGCGTGGGTAGGGAAATGCAAAATTGTGCACTGTATCAGTATTTCTGCTATAGGGTGGTCAGAAAGCGCTGAAGGTACAGTAACCTTAAAAGCAAAAAAATAGTTTATTTATAGTTGTACTGTTCTGTACCACCATTTTAACCACATGCCTACAGGGCACTTATACCCCCTTCCTGCCCAGGCCAATTTCCAGCTTTCAGCGCTGTCACACTTTGAATGACAATTGCGCGGTCATGCAACACTGTACCCATATGAAATTTTTATCTTTTTTTTGTGACAGATAAAGCTTTATGTTGGTGGTATTTAATCACCTCTGGGTTTTTCATTTTTTCTTAAACAAACCAAAAACTACTTAAAAGTTTGAAAAAAAAAGTTTTCTCTTAGTTTTTGTTATACAATTTTGTAAATAAGTGATTTTTCTCCTTCACTGATGTGCGCTAATGATGTTGCACTGATGGGCACTAATAGGCTGCATTGATGGACACTGATAGGTGGCACTGATGGGCACTGATGAGGAGGCACTGGTAGTTGGCACTGATAGGCATCACTGATGGGCACTGAAAGGCAGGACTCATATATGGCACTGATAGGCAGCGCTGGTAGGTGGCACTGATAGGCGGCACTGACTAGCACTGATAGGCGGCACTGACTGGCACTGTTAGGTGGCACTGATGCACACTGATAGGCGGCACTGACTAGCACTGATAGGCAGCACTGACGGGCACTGATAGGTGGCACTGATGCACACTGATAGGCGGCACTGACTGGCACTGATAGGCAGAACTGACTGGCACTGATTGGCAGAACTGATAGGTGGTACTGACTGGCATTGATAGGTGGCACTGACTGGCACTGATGGGTGACACTGAAAGGCAGCTCAGATGGGCACTGATATGTGGCATTGATGGGGCACTGATGGGCATTGAAATGTGGCACTGATGCGGCACTGATGGGCACTATCAGGTGGCATTGATGAGCACTGAGAGCTGGCACTGATGGACACTGACAGGTGGTGCTTCTGGGGCTACACATATCATCAGGGCACACTGAGTGATCTGATGATCTGTGTACATGTCCCCTCCGAGGAATGCCGATTACCGGCTCTCCTCTCCTCACGAGCTGTCAACGTGACAGCTCGTGGGGAGAGAAATGCCGATAACCCGCATTTCCCTGTTTACATGTGATCAGCTGTGATTGGACACAGCTGATCACATGACCGAGCCAACATCTTTGGCTCTTTCGATGATTGGTGATCCGCTGTGTCCGAGCAACACAGCGCAGCGCCGATCGCCGCGCTGCGCACTCCCAGAGCCGCGCGCATGCGCGGTTAGAATGGGAGGACGTCCTGTGATGTCCTCCCAGAACGAGAGAACCACCTTGCGTCCATCATTTTACTATATGGCGGGTGGGAGGCGGTTAAGGAAACTGTAAAATTAAAAATAATTTATTTACAGTATTTTTGTGTTTGATTTTTTTATGCTTTGCATTGTTTATTTGTGTCAAAGGTGTATAAGATTCACTTTGTCGGACTTACGAACAAATCTGATTTACGAACGTTCTCTTGGAATGGAACTCGTTCATAAGTCTGGAACTTACTGTACTCATTATAAAGTCAACCATTTGTATCTCCCTACATCAGCCAAAGAAAACAGGAAAGGTGGACTTGATGGAGAACTCACAAACATATATATTATATGCAATACTAAATAAATGTCCATCACTACTTCAAATAGTATAAAATGCTCTCAATTAACCACATGCCGCCCAGCCACTGTAGAAATACGGTGGCAGGGCGGCACGGCTGGGCAAAACCATGTTTTAAAACGTGTGTTTTTAAAACAGGGGGCGTCCACGAGGCGCGCCGCCGCCCTACCTGTCCAGCCGATCACGGCCGCGGATGTCAGTTGCCGGGTCACAGCCAGTCGTTACTGGCTATGTCCCGGCGATTAGCGGCAATCAGTGACAGAGAGCACAGCTGCAGTAGCTGTGCTTTCTGTCAGTTCCCTGACAATTCCTGACACGCTGATCGGGACAGAAGAGTTTATCTGTCCCGATCAGTGGTGTTCCCTGCAGTACACACCCCCGCCCCCTAGTAAAACAATCCCCTCACACAGTTAACCCTTTCACTGAATAATAAAGTTAACCCCTTTCTCCCCAGTGCCATTAGCACAGTGTCAGTGTTTTTTTTTTTTTGCACTGATCACTGTATTGGTGTCACTGGGGATGTCAGTGACCCCAAGTCAGTTCCCCCCCAGTGTCAGAATGTCCGCCGCAGTCCCGCAGTCCCGCCATAAGACGCTGATCACCGCCATAAGTCGCTGATCGCCACCATTATTAGTATAAAAAAAAATTAAAAATCCCAGTATCTTTCCCACCATTTGTAAAGGCTATAACTTTCACGTAAACCAATTAATTTACATGTATTGGGTTTTTGTAGCAAAGACATGTCACAGAATGCATTTTGCCAGAAATTTAAATTTGACTTTTAAATTTTTTTTTACTGGACATGTTTTATAGTAAAAAGTCCAAAATATTGTTTTTTTTCCTCAAAATTGCCATCCTTTTTTTTTATAGCATAAAAAACGCACAGGCGATCAAAGACCACTGAAAGAAAGCTCAATTTGTGGGAAAAAAAAGATGTAAATTTCATTTATGTACCGTATTGCATGACCACGCAATTGTCCGTTAAACTAGCGCAGCGTTGTATAGCAAAAAAATGGCGTAAATTGCAGTATCTATACCATAGTTTGTAGACGCTGTAACTTTCACACAAAGCAATCAATATACACTTATTGGGATTTTTTTTACCAAAAAACATGTAGCAGAATACGTTTTGGCCTAAATTTATAACTAACTTTGAGTTTACTATATATTTTTTATAGCTGAAATTAAAAAATATAGTTTTTCTTCAAAATTTTTGGTCTTTTTTTGTTTATAGCGTGAAAAAAAAAAAAGCGCACAGGTGATCAAATACCACCGAAAGAAAGCTCTATTTGTGTGAAAAAAAGGACATAAATTTTGTTTGGGTGCAGCAATGCATGACCGCGCAATTATCAGTTGAATTAGTGCAGCGCCGAGTAGCAAAAAGAGGCCTGGTCATTAAGGGGTAAATCCTCAGGAGGGCAAGTAGTTAAATAAAGACAGACAAATAGAAAACTATTTGCCACCCCATAAGGTCCTTTTTGTCATACTGTATAATGGCATTAGTGGTTAGGAAACCAAACAAACCAAACAAAGTCTAACAATTGAAAAATAATCTGCAAACCCTGAACAAAGCACTCAGACCCCATTGACGAATATTAGAGCCAAATCTTTATTATTATTTTTACTAGCCTTTTTCAAGACCAGTTTGCCAGCTTTTGGGGACTAAAAAGGACATTTATAGCTGGGCACTGCCATGGAGGACATGCAAAAAAACATGTTTACAAAAAAAGTTCAGTGGGGACCAGGTTTTTTTTAATAAGGCTTGAAAGACAATTTTAAAAATAGTGAAGTCCTTTAAATACCATCATTGGAAATGCCTTTAAACTTGCAGTGGAAGTGCCTCACCTGTACAATGTACTAAAGCAAAAGTGACTTTTGGGGAAAAAATAGCTGCTAGATGCCATGCCAGACTACTATCCCTGATGAGCCCCATCCAAAAAAATACAAATGACTGTATGGAAGGCCTGTCCAAAATCATACCAGTCTGGTATGGATTTTAAGGGGGAACCAAATGCAAAAAAAACAAGGATCCCCTCAAAATCCATGCCAATGCCTTCAGACCTGCAGCCTGGCCTTAAAATGAGGGCAGCAACATGTGACCAACCCCTCCTGAACTATACAAGGCTGCATGATATCGACATAGGGTGAGTTTGACCACCCTTACAAGGCACCACAGCTATGGCCTGTGGATGTGGTGGTCTGTGGGGTGAGGGACTTATCAGAATTTGAAAAACCCCTTTAAAATAAGGGGGAACCCAGATATCTTCCCATTCCTCCACGTGAATGATTAAGGGGTACATAGTATCCATCAACAAGCCATTGCACCATATACATACGGTACAATGCTTAAAATATAGTTACATCTTATATTCTTATGCTTTTGGATTAAAGAAATTAGTTAGCAGATGGCAAAGCATACCTGCTTCTACCTATATTTGTAGAATGTGCTACGAGTGGAATGTAAGAACATCTGCCATATGCCACTCAACTTATTAATGTTGTATTCTCTATATAGACCTGATTCTACTGAAATCATGTTTACATTGTTGCAGTTCCAACTCCATCTGGTCCACAAACATGCAATTAAGAGATACATCTGGCTCATCCCAAGAAAAGCATTCCATATGTTATACACAAATGTGAAATTTGTTTGGCTACTATACATATCAATTCGGTCAATCTTATCTGTTGCACTTGTACAACATCTCTTGCGGATCACTAACAAAGAAATTTAGACTGACACATACTGCATATATAGCATTTTAGGGAAGATTTTAGGGCTGGAAGAAAAATGTATTAGGCTAGATTTACTGTATTAACATTTGGACATAGCATTAAAGCATTTGATACAGTACCCCATAACTGCTTAATATGCAAACTGAGATCAGTTGGGATTGATGACAGTGTATGTATCTGGATAGAAAACTGGTTACAGGAGCACATCCAAAGGGTGGTTATAAACAGCATATATTCAAAATGGTCTGGAGTTGTGAGCTGGGTGCCCTAGGGTTCTGCCCTGGGACCAATTCTTTTTATTTCTTTTTAATCTGTTCATAAATGATATAGCAGTGGGGATAAATTGTTCAATCTCAGTGTTTGGTGATGATACAAAGCTAAGCAGGATAATAATCTCACAATAGGATATAGCAGGTTTACAGGCAACTACATGGCAAATAAGGTTTAATATTGATAAATGTAAAGAAATGCACTTGGGGGAAAAAAATATAAACTTATATATATAAGTTACTCTCTGGGGGGAGAACCTCTGGAGAAATCAAGGATGGAAAAGGATCTGGGGGTTCTAGCAGATCACAAGCTCAGCAATAGCATGAAATGCCAGGCTGCAGCAAGCAACGTTAGTAGACTATTAGCATGCATTAAAAAGGGTATCTACTCAAGAGATAAAACTATAATTCTACTACTTTACAAGGATATCCCTGAAATGGAGAGAAGGGTCCAGAGAAATGGAGACTAGAGAAGGACAACAAAGCTAGTAAGGGGCCTAAAGGACCTCAGTTATGAGGAACAACTTCAAATATTAAACATATTCTTCCTAGAGGAGAGGCAGTTAATAGAGGAAATGAACACAACATGCAAATATCTAAATGATGATTCTAGAATAGGGAGAAAATTATTCAGTTTCAGGTCGCTTAACAAGACAAGCAGCCACTCAATTAACTTGGACAAGAAGGAGTTTAACCTTAAGCTGCATAAAGGGTTCTTTACTATTAGAGTGGTAAAGAAGTGAAACTCCCTTCCACAATTAGTGGTTTCAGTAGGAAATGTCATCAGTTTCAAAAACTTTTAGATGGGTATCTTGGCAAACCCAAAATACAGTGATATGGGAAACATACACACACACGTTGAACTAGATGGACTGGAGTCTTTATTCAAGCTTAAAGGATAAGTTCACCTTTTGAGTAAAAATAATAAATGCACATTTTTACAGGTAAAAAAAGTGTGCATTTATTATTTTTGGTGATCAGAAGATCACTAGTGCCTTGCAGATCTCCTGCAGACCTGTCAGTATATCTGCTTGTCCATACGGACAAGCAGATATACTGACAGGAAGATTCAATTAACTACCATGGAGCTCCACAGCACTGTCATAGTTCAAGGAGAACTACAAGCTGGACTTGTAGTGCATTCATTCACAGAACACAGCCGCATTGTTTTTAAAAAGTGACAGCCTGTATGGGAAGCTACTCCCTGTACCTCTGTCATGGGAGGGGGGGTTATTGACTGAGAACATGTTAAATGTTCAAACCGAAAAATGGATTGAATATGTAACATGTCCCAAAGGTGAACTTATCCTTTAACCATGTAACATGTGTAACATGTGTTGTGCATTGACAGCACTTAATAGCAGCACTCTAAATGAATTGCACTGTAATGTGCTAATGTTCTTAACATGCATTGCAGATTTTTCCCCAATAGAGAACTTACAATATTTCCAATTAACATTTATAGGTATCCTGCAAAATAAACATGTGTAGTAGGAGTGTGTTGATTGGATCCAAGCAAACCAATCTTCTGCAAAGAAATATGCAAACTGGGGTCAGCTAAAATTATATTCTGAACATAAAATATCTCTATGATTTTTTCACAACATATGCAATTGTATTCAAAATGCACTATATTGCCAAAAGTATTGGGACGCCCCTCCAAATCATTGGATTCAGGTTTTTCAATCACCTCCATGGCCACAGATGTATAAAATCAAGCACCTAGGCATGCAGACTGATTCTACAAACATTTGTGAAAGAATGGGTCGCTCTCAAGAGCTCAGTGAATTCAAGCGTGGTACCGTGATAGGTTGCCACCTGTGCAATAAGTCCATTAGTGAAATTTCCTTGCTACTGAATATTCCACGGTCAACTGTTAGTGGTATTATGAGAAAATGGAAGCAACAGTAACTTAGCTATGAATTAGTTGGCCATGTAAAATGACAGAGCAGGGTCAGCACATGCTGAAGCACACAGTGTGCAGAAGTCTCCAACTGTCTGCAGAGTCAATAGGTAAATACCTCCAAACATCATGTGCCCTTCAGATTAGCACAACAACAGTGAGTAGAGAGCTTCATGGAATGGGTTTCCATGGCCAAGCAACTGTATCCAAGCCTTACATCACCAAGTGCAATGCAAAGTGTGAGATGCAGTGGTGTAAAGCACACTGCCACTGGACTCTAGAGCAGTGGAGAATTGTTCTCTGGAGTGATGAATCACACTTTTCTGTCTGGCAATCCGATGAGCATGTCTGGGTTCTGCAGTTGCCAGGAAAACGGTACTTGCCTGATTGCATTGTGCAGTGTAAAGTTTGGTGGAGGGGGGAATTATGGTTTGGGGTTGTTTTTCAGTGGTTGGGCTTGGCCCTGTAGGTCCAGTGAAGGGAACTCTTAAAGCGTCAGCATACCAAGGCATTTTGGACAAGTTCATGCTCCAAACTATGTGGGAACAGTTTAGGGATGGCCCCTTCCTGTTCCAACATGCGTGCACACCAGTGCACAAAGCAAGGTCCATAAAGAGGTGGAGAAACATGACTATCTGCACAGAGTCCTGAACTCAATCTGATAGAACATCTTTGGGATGAATTAGAATGGAAACTGCGAGCAAGGCCTTCTCGTCCGACATCATTGCCTGACCTCACAAATGTTCTTCTGGAAGAATGGTCAAACATTCCCATAGACACACCCCTTAACTTTGTGGACAGCCTTCCCAGAATAGGTGAAGCTGGTATAGCTGCAAAGGGTGTGGGCCAACTCAATATCGAACCTTATGTACTAAGACTGAGATGTCATTAAAGTTCATGTGCGTGTAAAGGCAAGCGTCCCAATACTTTTGGCAATATAGTTAGAGATGAGCGAATCGAACTTGGCGAAGTGGAATTCGTTTCGAAGATTAGGAAAAATTCGATTCGCCGAATCCGAAAATTAGCAGACTTCGGATGCGCGAATCGAAATTTTCCAAAAATGGCGGCCACATGTGTGGCGACGGAGCGGGGATCTCTGGGAAGGCGCGCAGACAAGGCGCGCTGACCCATAATGCATTCATTCATGACATGTGATCGCATTAGCCAATCAGCAGCCAGCCAGCCAGCACTGTGTAAGGGTCGAGCTATAAATTGCGGCCATCTTAGAATTCTCCATTAGCCTCCGGTCATTCAAGAGAGACAGACCTCTCTGTATTAGGGACAGAGTTAGGGCCAAATAGACTTTAGGGCCACAGAATCGTTACTTAGGGACACAGAATTGTTACTCAGCGACACAGAATTGTTACTCAGGGACACAGAACTGTTACTCAGGGACACAGAATTGTTACTCAGGGACAGACACAGAATTGTTACTGAGGGACACAGAATTGTTACTGAGGGACACAGAATTGTTACTCAGGGACACAGAATTGTTACTCAGGGACACAGAACTGTTACTCAGGGACACAGAATTGTTACTCAGGGAAACAGAACTGTTACTCAGGGACACAGAATTGTTACTCAGGGACACAGAATTGTTACTCAGGGACACAGAACTGTTACTCAGAGACACAGAATTGTTACTCAGGGACACAGAACTGTTACTCAGGGACACAGAATTATTACTCAGGGACAGACACAGAATTGTTACTGAGGGACACAGAATTGTTACTGAGGGACACAGAATTATTACTCAGGGACAGACACAGAATTGTTACTGAGGGACACAGAATTGTTACTGAGGGACACAGAATTGTTACTCAGGGACAGACACAGAATTGTTACTGAGGGACACAGAATTGTTACTGAGGGACACAGAATTGTTACTCAGGGACACAGAATTGTTACTCAGGGACACAGAACTGTTACTCAGGGACACAGAATCGTTACTCAGGGACAGACACAGAATTGTTACTGAGGGACACAGAATTGTTACTCAGGGACACAGAATTGTTACTCAGGGAGACAGAATTGTTACTCAGGGACACAGAACTGTTACTCAGGGACACAGAACTGTTACTCAGGGACACAGAATTATTACTCAGGGACAGACACAGAATTGTTACTGAGGGACACAGAATTGTTACTGAGGGACACAGAATTGTTACTGAGGGACACAGAATTGTTACTCAGGGACAGACACAGAATTGTTACTGAGGGACACAGAATTGTTACTGAGGGACACAGAATTGTTACTCAGGGACACAGAATTGTTACTCAGGGACACAGAACTGTTACTCAGGGACACAGAATTGTTACTCAGGGACACAGAACTGTTACTCAGGGACACAGAATTATTACTCAGGGACAGACACAGAATTGTTACTGAGGGACACAGAATTGTTACTGAGGGACACAGAATTGTTACTCAGGGACAGACACAGAATTGTTACTGAGGGACACAGAATTGTTACTGAGGGACACAGAATTGTTACTCAGGGACACAGAATTGTTATTCAGGGACACAGAATTGTTACTCAGGGACACAGAACTGTTACTCAGGGACACAGAATTGTTACTCAGGGACAGACACAGAATTGTTACTGAGGGACACAGAATTGTTACTGAGGGACACAGAATTGTTACTCAGGGACAGACACAGAATTGTTACTGAGGGACACAGAATTGTTTCTGAGGGACACAGAATTGTTACTGAGGGACACAGAATTGTTACTCAGGGACACAGAATTGTTACTCAGGGGACACAGAAACTGTTACTCAGGGACACAGAATTGTTACTCAGGGACACAGAACTGTTACTCAGGGACACAGAATTGTTACTCAGGGACAGACACAGAATTTGTTACTGAGGGACACAGAATTGTTACTCAGGGACACAGAATTGTTACTCAGGGACACAGAACTGTTACTCAGGGACACAGAATTGTTACTCAGGGACACAGAACTGTTACTCAGGGACACAGAATTGTTACTCAGGGACAGACACAGAATTGTTACTGAGGGACACAGAATTGTTACTGAGGGACACAGAATTGTTACTGAGGGACAGAGAATTGTTACTTAGGGACAGACACAGAATTGTTACTGAGGGACACAGAATTGTTACTGAGGGACAAAAATTGTTACTCAGGGACACAGAATTGTTACTCAGGGACACAGAACTGTTACTCAGGGACACAAAAATTGTTACTCAGGGACACAGAACTGTTACTCAGGGACACAGAATTGTTACTCAGGGACACAGAACTGTTACTCAGGGACACAGAATTGTTACTCAGGGACAGACACAGAATTGTTACTGAGGGACACAGAATTGTTACTGAGGGACACAGAATTGTTACTCAGGGACAGACACAGAATTGTTACTGAGGGACACAGAATTGTTACTGAGGGACACAGAATTGTTACTCAGGGACGGACACAGAATTGTTACTCAGGGACACAGAATCGTTACTCAGGGACACAGAATCGTTGAATTAAAGAGTATGTCAGACAACACGCAGAGGAGTGGCAGAGGAGGCAATGTTTCAGGAGCGAGCAGACGTGGCAGCAGAGGAAGGGGTCGAGGCAGCACTAGTCGCAGCCAGAGGCCAGTGCTCCCGGTGTCATCCAGCGGTCGTGTCTCCACCGACAACCCTGCCGTCATCGATTGGTTGCTCGGTCGTCTTCCTCTTCCCAGGTCACCTCTGACACCTACAGCCAACGGTCGGTGGGTACGTCAGACACAACCATTAGTTGGCATGGCCCGGGAGCAAGCCCACTGAAATCACGTGTCCTCTACCTGCCCCTGTCCTTTGGTGTTCCCTCACCAAGCGAAGTATCGCATGCTGTGGGCTCAGCCCCACTGTACAGTGAGGAAGAGCTAACAGAGGGCGGTCAGGAACGGGGGGAGACATCCGCCTCTTCAGCAGCCAGGCAAAGAAGTACTGGCGAGGAGAGTGGCTCGGTAGCCGGTCTAGAGACAGGTCTGTCTCCTGACCCACACGCAGCCGAGGGGGCTAGTAGTGAGGCGGAGACCCTAATTGATGATGATGAGGCTGATCGCACTTGGCAGCCTCGTCGTCATCAGGCTATTGCTTCCGCATCATCAGGAGAAGAGGGTGCCAGCTTGGCAGCGAGCAAAAACAGTCGGTGGGTTGCCCAGGAGGCAGCAGGGTCGCAGCAGTGTCAGTGGAGGCAAACGGCCACGGAGTAGAGCACCAGCTCCACTGCAGCCTACCACCTACGGCCAGTAGTGGTGCCGGTGTGCACGGAGGAAGTAGCAGTCAGCCAGTGAGGAGTAGCGGGGGCAAAGTTTCCTACTCGGCGGGTGTGGCAATTTTTCGTCAAGCCGCCCGAGGAAGTAACGTAGCCGTATGTCGACTATGTGGCCAGAAAGTCAAGCGTGGCCAGGGGGCCCATGTCTCCATCGCCACACTCTGCCATGTGCCACTTTCAGGTCTCCTCACACTGCTGGTGGGTTCCATTTTGTCATAGGGTGCTGGCAGATTACGGGCCTCCCATTGCTGCTGCCAGGCCCGTAATCTGTCATGGGCCCCTGTACCGCCTCCTCATGCTGCTGCCAGGCCCGTAATCTGTCATGGGTCCCTGTACGGCCTCCCATTGCTGCTGTCTCCATCGCCACACTCTGCCATGTGCCACTTTCAGGTCTCCTCACACTGCTGGTGGGTTCCATTTTGTCATAGGGTGCTGGCAGATTACGGGCCTCCCATTGCTGCTGCCAGGCCCGTAATCTGTCATGGGCCCCTGTACCGACTCCTCATGCTGTGACGTTGCAACAAGGTGGAATTCAACCCTACAATATGTTAGACCGCCTTTACGAAACAGCGAAAGGCCATCACCGATTTCCTGATGTTACAAGCGGATAAAGGTACTCCCCTGTGTAACTTCGATGTCAGCCATTGGCAGCTCATGCGTGACACCTGCCGCTTGCTCAGGCCCTTTGGGGAGGCCACGCTATTCGTGAGTCGGCAGGACTATGGGATGAACGACGTCATTCCTCTGTTGCACGTCCTGGAACAAAATGCTGTTAACAATGGCTGGTCAGGGTGCGGTAGACGTGGCGCACAGATCTCAACGCCACATGACCCCTGTGGGGGCCCCGGACAGGAAGAAGAGGAGGAGGTAGAGGGAGGACATTGGTGCTCAGGAATTATTGAGTGAAATGGGTGGTTTTTTTCCACTCAGCAGGACAGGAGTGGAGGAGCAGGAGCATCTGGTAGAGGAGGAGGAGGAGACAGAGGACCCAGACGCACGTGGACAGTATGCTGTGGAGATGGAGGCAGGGAGTCCCTCGCATTCCTTGGCACAAATGGCCCATAGCATGCTCGGTTGCTTGCGTAGCGACAGCCGAATAATAACCATCAGACAGAGGGATGACTTTT